CTCCTCTCTCTCTCTCTCTCTCTCTCTCTCTCTCTCCCTCTCCCTCTCTCCCTCTCCCTTCCTTCCCTTCTCCCTCTCCTCTCCCTCTCCTCTCTTCCCCCTCTTCCCTCTCCCTCTCCCTCTCTCTCTCCCTCTCTCCCTCCCCTCTCTCCCTCCCTCTCTCCCTCCCTCTCTCCCTCCCTCTCTCCTCTCCCTTCTCTCCCTCCTCTCTCTCCCTCCCTCTCTCTCCCTCTCTCTCCTCCCTCTCCTCTCCCCTCTCTCTCTCCCTCTCTCTCTCCCTCTCTCTCTCCCTCTCCCTCTCCCTCTATGTAAAAATAGTTATTGAACAATACCATTTATGTTATATTTATCAATTAAATAAAGTTCATTGTCAGTTTATCAAACTTCTTTTCTGCAGTGATCTATCTTCAAATTGTGAGGACTATGCCATTAAGTCTCTCTGCTATGCTGCACTTCCACTCTGCAATGAGAATGAGCCAGAACCAGCACCTAGGCAGTTGTGCCGAGAGGAGTGTGAAATTCTTGTAAGTTTGGTATTTTGTTACTATATTTGAAAACCATACAAAAGTACTTACTTTAGAAAATAAAACATTATTGGTTTAACTGCCAGTAAGGATAATTCAACTCTTAAAATATATGTTATTATTATGTAACTATTGTATTGTCACTTTATCTCTATACTCGTGTGTTAACAAGTATTCAAAATACTTTACTCTCATTACATCAGGTAAATGACGTATGCAGGATGGAATTGTCATTGCAAAACAGCACCAGCTTATTGGCCGTCAGCTGCCCATCCCAGAGTGCGAGGAACTCTCTCCCATCACATCACCAGATCACCTCCATTGCATTCGCTTAGGCGTGCAGAGTGATCCTCTTGTTGAAGGTTAGACTTACTTTTTTATCTTTAGTCTATAACAATGTCTGTATTTTCTTCCTCTCGGTGATAAATTTGATGAATTACTTTTTTAACTATTTGAAATTGGCAGTTACATATACTGAATATAATTTTTATCTGCATGTTAGTGTGAACAAAAGTTATACTACCATTAACATATGCAAAGAAAATTTGTAAAGTACCTAAAATAATGGAGTTGGAAACTGCTTGAAGGATTGTTAATGCTCTAAGCATATTTTCTTTGATGTCATAGGCCAAAATGATGATTTTCTGATTCAAATAATGTTAATGAAAGTATGTTTGCTTCCAGTTACATGAGATTAATTCACTCTGAAGGCTATTTACTTAGGGGATGAAACTCCTCTGTGAAAAAATTAGTTCATTTTAAAAACATATCCTTGCATTTAGAAAGGTTATAGGCACCAGCTTGTGGGAAATGCAGTTCACTTTGTTATTATATATAAGTAAAGGAATTTGATAAGATTAAGAAAAAGTTGTGAGATATGGAATAAAATAGTATCAATTTCATTTTCATTTTCATTTCAGATTTTCTAACTTATTTTATCTCCATAGGTTTGTAATTTTTGAGAAAAAAAAAGTTGTTTGTGCTCATTTTTTCCTTTTTTTTTTTTTTTTTTTTTCCTAACAGATGAGAAGTGCTACGTCGGTAATGGTGAATCATACCGAGGCACAGAGAGTCGTACATTATCAGGTCGCATTTGTGAGCCATGGAGCGAGAATCAGCTCTATATACGCACAGCTGACTTTCCTGAACTAATTGGAGGGCACAACTATTGCCGTAACCCTGGTGCACAAGAGAATCAACCTTGGTGCTTTGTTGCTACGGAACACTCAGTATCCAAAGAAGAATGTGCTGTACAAGTTTGCAGTACGTACGAACTCTCTGATTGATGGAGATTAGATGTATATTTGTAGTTATTTATTTATTTAGTTTGTCATTATATATATTTTTTTTTATTATTATACTGGTGGATAGTGCATAGTTATACATTGTCAACCCTTGAAAGCATATTAATCTTTAAATTCTCATTATTCTTTCAGATGACAATACATTAGTATTCATCCTTGTGGCAGTTGTGATTGGTGGTGCAGTGTTCCTTTCCCTGATTGTTGGACTTTGTATGCGCAGAAAGTTTAAGTCGCCCAAACAGCCTTCCCCAAAGGCAAAGACTGTAGAACTCAATGCTCTCCTCCCAAAACAGCAGCAACTCCGGGCTCGTGAATTTCCCCTTGCTAATGTCAGGTTCATGCAGGAGCTTGGAGAGGGGGCCTTTGGTAAGCTCAAGAACTTAAGATGGTTGTGTGTGTTGATATATCTTTTTAGGGCATCATAATGTACTTGATAAAATTAAGTGTAAATGTCTACTTAGTGATTTAGTTACCTGTTATGGATGGGACTTTATATGGAATTTGAATTAAGTCATGGGTTACCATTATTCATGAAACCCTTAGAAGTATATGAAGTATTTTCCATAGAAATTAGATGGACATATGAATAAATTATTGGGAAATTTCTATTTGTATACTACTGATTTTTAATTTATTCTTGTAATATTTACACTCAGCTTTAAACTTTCATAATGGCTCTTTAAAAAATATTAAATTTTCCTTTTCTAGGTAAAGTTTACAAAGGTGAATTGCAAGGAATGAGTCCAGATGGAAGCTCAGTATTGGTGGCTATCAAAACTTTGAAAGAGAATGCCACAGCGAAAACTCGTCAGGATTTTCACCGGGAGGTAGAACTCATGACAGACCTTCGCCATCCCAACATTGTTTGCCTGCTGGGAGTGGTCATGAAGGAGGAACCTATGTGTATGTTGTTTGAACATATGTCCCAGGTATGTACCAGTTTATCAAGTGAACCATCCCTTGAAAAGAAAAATATCAAATATATTTTTTCTTTCTTTTTCATAATATTTTTTTCTTTCTTTCTTTCTTCCTTTTGTTTTCTTTTTTATCATAGATGATATCAGCAGAGATATGTACTTTATAAAAGTACCTTTTCCCACAGGGTGATTTGCATGAGTTCTTGATTTCTCATTCCCCACGGTCGGATGTCTCCGCATCTAGTGACGATGGCATGTCCCAGGCTGTACTTGAACAGCCAGATATGCTTGTCATTGCAACTCAGATTGCTGCAGGTAAGGCTATGTTCATCTATTGTTTCTGAATTTATGTAATATGATCCTTTTAGGCAGTTGTAAAATTTTCTTGATCAGGTGTTTGGAAATTGAATATATAACTGAAGTATTGTAAATTTACTTTTTGCCTTGTGGAAAATATAAACTGAAATTACATATATCTGTATTAATAAACAATCCTCTCAACTAGGGATGGAATACCTTGCAAGCCATCACTATGTCCACCGAGATCTTGCCTCCCGTAACTGTCTAGTGGGGGAAAACTTGACTGTAAAAATATCAGACTTTGGACTTTCTCGGGATATCTACTCTTCTGATTACTACAGGTATCTACAAAATTTATAAAAGTTCATAGTACTATATAGTATTAGCCATTTTATATTTACTTTTTTTCTTCTTCTTTTTTATGTTTTTTTTTTCTTTTTTTTACAATATGTAAAAGTGGGGGTATTAAAAGGAAAAATTGTATCTTTGGATTTATTTTATACCTAATTTGGATATTGCAGTCTATATTGAATTCTATATATATTCTTAGTAAATTGGCAAATAATTGATTGAAAGACTAATTTCAAATTAATTATTACAGGGTGCAGAGTAAGAGCCTGCTCCCAGTGCGATGGATGCCCCCAGAATCTATTCTGTATGGCAAGTTTACGACAGAATCAGATGTTTGGAGCTTTGGTGTTGTTCTGTGGGAGATCTTCAGTTATGGTTTACAGGTGAATTAGATATACTGAGTTTTTGGTTTGGAACATTAGATTGTAATACAATTCATATGGTAACACTTGTAGTCTTTTGAAGATTTTACTTATGTATGTTTTCTATTTTGCCACACAAAGATACAGTGTATATTGTCTATTAAACATAATGTTCAGTCTTGGATGCATGATATTTAATCAGACATTTGTCCCTAATTCCTAATTTCACATGTCATATTTTTTACATTTTTTTAATTAACACCATTTCAGCCTTACTATGGATATAATAACCAGGAGGTAATAGATATGATAAGGTCCCGTCATCTGTTGCCTTGCCCAGAGGATTGCCCACCCCGCATATATGCTCTCATGGTTGAGTGCTGGCATGAGACTCCAAATAGAAGACCAACATTTAGGTAAGCCTTAATCTAAAGATTAATTATTTGGTTCTTGGGGATTAGTTCTGTGCATAATAAATTTGTTTAGTAGAATAGTAATGATTACTTATTTTGATAAAAATATTGAACTTTTTATAGAGACAACATAATCACCCTGTTTATTCTCACAAAGGGACCTGTTGTCTTCTTTCCTAGTATTTTAGATATGATTCAGGTGTTTTTATAACCTCTTCAGTAAGGCCAGGAATATCTTTTTACAATGAATTATTGATGGTACAGAAATTGAATTTAAAGATTATCAATACTATTTGAAGGTGCAATCAGACAATACATTTTAATTTTCATTGCAGGGAGATACATGGTCGACTTCGTTCCTGGCAGGGTTTAGATAACGGAGGTTTGGTTGGCACCCTGAGTGGTAGTGTGTCTGGGCATTCTGGCTCACAGCACTCTAGCACAGGGCCTTCAAATAACACTGGATCTACGAACCTCTCCTCAAATACTCACCCTCCACACCTTCCTCGGCCTTATCACCCAGGCCCACATTATCAGCCACCTGGACCACCCCATTCTCCAGCTTATTCTGCTCCTTATCAACCACCACCACCACCTGGGATGGTGCCTGGCTTGTATCCACGTTTGTCAGTGCCTGTAGGGCACCCACAACCAGTATATTTGGCCCAGCGTAGCAACGTGATGGAGGATCACCAGTTACCATTAGAGTGGCGCAACCACAGTCTATGAATATGGGAACAGAAACCCAGTTGGCAAATCTCTGAACTAAATGGTGAAACTTTTGATTCCTAACTCTCACAAAGGAACGTTTAGTGAATCTCATCACATCTTGGGAATGATGTTTGATGTTTTGTGTATGCTTGGAGCACAACAAGGTCCTCTAAGCTAGGATATTATATGACCATCTTGTTGCTGCTCTTGTATGGTGAAAAGAAAAGAAAATCAGTGCTTGAGTGAAAAGTGTGTATGGAACTGAAAAGAACATCTTTTCTGATCTCTTGAGTGTTTAATAGATTAGGGAATCAAGTGTCAAGAAACTATTCTGTTGTAACATATACATAAAATGTGAGTTCATGATTTGATATTATTTGAAATATTTCACTTTGCTTCATTGTCATTTGAGAGTGTTATTTGCAAAATATTTTTTAAATTTTACAGATGCAGAATTGTGACATCCTAGTGGTAAGATGAGGAAGGTTTTCCTCATGTAGGAGTCCTTAGTGCATCATCATCCCATCTGGCAAAGTGTTTTATATAGCCTGACCTGATATTATATATAATATGAGTTCTAAACTGAAATGTGTTCTAATTTCTGTAATAGGAGTGAGTAATACATAAAGCATGATTGATGTTATAGCTTATACCTACATATTTCTTATGAAAATATTTAGTGCTTTGTGGAGATTACTACTGTACTTGCGACCCTGGTCATGGCATAGCATGTGACATGCCAAACTGAATAATCAAATAATTTTTGCAAGACAGTTAAGTGATTGAATTGTAAGAGATGTTTACCTTATGTTAAAGCCATGTGCAGATGTGAGGAGCTTTGAAAGAAATGAACTATTTTTGATGGCCATGCTGTTATGCACTCTTCATGCTTGACATAGCTTTGTCATCACATGGTTACTAAGTCAATATCTGTTTGCTTATATGCAGTAAGCTTTAATGTGATACTATATTTTTTATCTGATTTTCTAAATTAACTTTTTAATTAGCAGATGTAACTGGCATTTAGTCATGGTAATAAATGCCAGTGTTGAGGCTTTGTGACATTACCTTTCCCGTACAACGTTTTTGTTACTTGTAAGTTCAATCCTTTGGTCTCTCAGATGATATTAAGCTGTTTGCACAATTGCATAATAATTATTGGAAAGCTTGCAAATACAAAGTTCTTGTAAGATAGTCAGTTACCAAATAACTGGTCAATTCTGTACAGGTACGATATTTGATGTTAATGTAACTTCGACAGCTGTGTGTTTGTCTGCCCTTGGTGTGTCAGACCAAATAGTTGACAAGATTACATAATCAGGTTACACAATTTCATATTGCAGTCTGTGAAACCACAACATGGGTATAGAGCTTTCCCTGTGTGTATATTTCTTTCTTTTGTGTAAATTCTCTGAGTTCTGTAAGTAAACTGATATACAAGTAATGTTTTTAGACAAAAACTGAAAAGCTTTTTTATGTTCAGATATTCTGTTTACAAATTCACTTTCTGAATTATAGGTCATCTGACTGGTCTTAAGAACTTGAATAAGAAAACTAAGAGACTGTAAATAGGACTGTAGAATATGCTATTTATAACAGTAACAAATCCTTTTTAAGAATACCACAACCAAGTCTTTTGTACATGCAAGCTTGTGGTAATATATAGTAAAATTAACCAAATTTGTTTATATATCCTTTTTTAAACTATTTTAAGATGTGTTATTTACCTGTGGTTTGAGTTGTTTTTAATATTGCTATTGATGTGTAATAGTAATATTATTTTTGGTTTCTACATAAAGATACATCTTTCCAAAAAAAAGTGCAAACTTACAATGTGTAGCCACCAGAGGACGTCTATGCTTGGCAGTGGGAGTGGGAATAACATACTACTGCACACTCACTCTTAAGATTTTGTTCAGTAGTGGTCAAACCTGTAATTCAATACACTGGCAAATTATATCTGATAAAATCCTCTTAAAATCTGATATTGACACAGAAAATGATATTACATTTATCCTATACAAAAATGTATGAGGTTTACAGCTGCTGAATAATAATTTATATTAAGCCTCTAAGAACTTTACAAAAGCACTAAATACATACACATAGCAGGAACAGCTAATCAAACAAGTTAATGATGTAATTCCAGAATTCCTTTGGGCTTCTTGACAGCACAAAGGTTCTTGAACTACCCTCATATTGCAAACACTACATCAAGAGATAAATGATACTGCATATCTAAAGCAACAACTAATCAGTCTTGCTGTCTTATGGCACACAATCAGCTGCTGGTTATATACAATTAAGAATATGGGTAGTTCTTTACACAACCTTTACACAAGTACACATTGCACAGGGTATCTTTTATGGCTGATATGGACCATGTGGTAATCAATGATGCCTTCTCAGCCACTGAGACACAATATAGATTTATATAATCACACAGCCTTTTTGATCACTGTTATGGAATTATTTATTATGGAATTATGTTACAGTCTACTTAATATGTGATATACCAGTTACTACGCAAGCTAAATTTGTCAAATATACATGTTATTTGAGCTCAACATATACTAAAAAACAGTTCTTAGTATTTTTACAAATATACTACACAGAAAGCCAAGAGAACAATTTAACACACACAAACAAACGAGCAAAAAAAAAAACACTTACTTACTTTACTTACTTTAAATGTGGCCGTGTTACAGTCAGAGTGCAGACAGTCGTGTTTGGAAGGAACAGGTGATCTTGGTAGTGGTGTAGGATCAGTAGACGTCTTGGTAACTACAGCAGGTGTTTTGGGGGCTGGAGAGATACAACTGGTAGACAGAGGTTAGGTCCGACTAGGTTGCTATGGCTGTCTCAACTGTCGCTCGCAGGCGACCCTATTTTATACAGATTTGATTGAGTTGTTAAGGTAATCGTGCCATATAAGGAGCGAGTCGAGAATAGAGAAAAGGATTTGTTTGTATGAACAATGCGACGTCACGTCGGAAGACAGAATGTCGCATCAGGTGATGTGTTGCGCAGATGGCATGGTAGTGTGGACTGGTGTAATTGTATAGGGTATATATGTAAAAGATATCTAGTATATTATATGTGCGGCAACAGTAGAAGGAGAAAGAATGGCACTTGAGTGTTCAGATATATGTGAAGGTGGGCGTGTTTATAGGTGTTTACGGGTGTCAGAGAATGTAATAAGCTGCTGCTAACTTAATAGTACAACTAACAAAATATGATTGTAATGTCTATAATCCTACATACTAAAACAAGAATGTAATGGCTAAATACAGGTGCATACAATAATGGTTGAGTAGCGGATACAAGAAAGTAAAAGAAAATGCATATTGGAGTAAATAGCCAGCTTAGAATGAGTACACAATACAGTGAGAGCATGTAGAATGTATAAGTGACGTTGACAGGATCATAATCAGTGACAAGGTAATTAAATGCATGATTTCTAGGCGCTGACAGTGACAGTGATAACCACAAAAAAAAATTAAACCAAAATAAAACAAGTTGTGTGATGTGAGGGGAGAAAATGTATAAAATTAAATTTATTTAGAGACAGATAACATAGGAACATTAATGGAAGGAAGATCAATGTTTGTAACAATGAGGGAGAGTTCAGCGGGTCGATCAGGATAGAATCTGGTGTGTAAGCAAAGGAAGCGGTCAGAGGAGACAATGTGCTGAGTAGGAAGCTGAGTTGGCATGCTCGCGGAAGGGTGAATGCAGCGCTGACCATGAGGTCAGTCTGGGTGTCGTTACAACTGATTTTTGTATTATGTTGGTTTTCGTGTAATTATCTAGTGGGATAGTCAGGGATCAACAAAGTTGTGGAAAACCAGAAAAATAACGTAATGCAAGAGTACAATGTGTCTCTACAGGAGGTAAAACAGTCCATAATGTATGCGAAACAGCCAGTGCTGCAGGTGTCGGCGGGCCAAGAGCATGTATAGCAGAGGTAGGACGAGTAGGCGGGGGACGCGTACTCCGTCTGAAGTCATCAATGCTGCACCAACCGTAGATGGCACGTTCACCGGCACCTGGCAGTCCACGAAGGGAACAAAACATATATACATATTTACTGAATAAAATTATCAAATATCATATGGATACGCGGGGAAGTGCCGATAAGGAGTCGGCCTCGGGCGTGAACCCAACAACCATAGGTGGGACGTCTGCAGTCCCGAATGTGCGAGTGACTACCGAGGGAAGTACGTCCTTGGGTTTAGTAAACAATCGGATGTAATGCAGGAGTACAATGGCAACCGGACGGCAGGCCGTGACGCTGGCGTGGTGGCAGTAGCATGCATATATTCTGAATGCAACGTTGTTACTCGGTGTGGCTGGGCTTATGGGGCAATGAAAAGGCAACGGAATGACGATGAGAAAGACAACATGCGTTACTTGGAGGACTTAGATCGTACACAAATACATTATACAGGGCAACTTTGTACCGTGAGAATTTGCAACGGACGAAATAACGAACGAGGAGGTCTTCCTGTACGATAGGGACGACGATAACGACGAAATCGCGAGATACAAAGACATACGATGTTCGAGAGGATTATCGTAGTAGCAAACATCCTTGAACAGTCCATGAGTGTCAGAAATGCTGAGGTCAGGGCACTGGGTTTCGGTCAAGTCGCGGTGTGTGAAGGAAGAACAATGTTCCGTGTCAGTAAGCAAGGATGTTAGTACAGTTTCATTGTAGAGGTAGAGTGATAAGGTGATAAGGTACCAAGAATAGTTTATGTGTAGGAAAGGTTATTTGTACATGATCGTGTTTTCTTGAGTTTTCTGCAGAATATAATTTAAGGGGTAGTTAGTTATAAGGGCTAGGAAAGGAAAGAAGAGAGAAGAAAGAAAAATCACGAATAGAAATTACTACATAAACGGCGGAGTGGATGAGATGAGTGGCAGCGAGGACGCACGAGAGAGGGTGATGGGCCGTTTTCTGTTCAGCGGGAGACTTTGGCAGGACACGTATGGGTTAAATGTACAAAATAAATAATACAAATATTTCTAGTCGTCCTAAATATTCTTAAAATGCGCCTAAAAACAATTCTCTAACACTAAATCTTACTTGTTGTTGGATTTGGCGATAGGGGTTGATGGTCGTCGGCTGGTGATGGCAGGCGCGGGCAGGGTTGCTGGCAGGCGATCCTTCGGCAAGGAAGGAGTTCCATCATCCAAAATACCATTTCACTGGATTCCTAACTTCGCTCACGGGTGGGCAAGGCT